CATTCAAGGTGACCCAAGTCCCCAGGTAAATAGAAACCCTATTAGGCATGATAGTCCAAGACACTGAGGTCAAAGGTCAGACAAATTCTGGAGCAAGATTAGGTTCTGCACAGACTGCTTCTTCCCCTGGGCAAACTCTGACCTCTCCTCCATGTGGGTGAGGGCTTGGTAAAGGAGATGAGAAATTTAGAGGAGATGAGAAAGTCTGATGGCCTGACCCTCCAAATCAGATAAGGTGACCCTTGACTGGAAGCCAAGAACAGAATAAGCCCTTTCTTCACGGCCACACTCACCTGGAGTGGAACATGCCCCGGACTGAGCTGCAGGACCTTTGGAGAGACAGGGAACTGGTCAAGTCTCAATGCCATAGATTCAGACTGTTCTTACCAGGTTTCATTTGGTGTTCTTGAATCAATGTCTCTTCATTCGCCTTATGGTCTTACAATTTCAAGAAACTTTAAGTGCCTTTTAAAATAGTCTTTACCAGGCTGGTGTTGTGGCTCAGCGGTAGAGCACTCACCTGGTACATGCAAGGCCCTGGGTTCGATCCTCAGCACCACATAAAAATAAATAAAATGAAGGTATAAAAAAATTAGTTTTCACCAGCTTTATTTATGTATTTCACTGTAAAGATCTCTTCACACTGCCATTCGACCTTTCCCTAGGCTTTTTTTTTTTCGGGGGGGATGGGGTACTGAGGATTGAACCCAGGGGCACTTAACCCCTGACCCAACATGTTAATCTGGAATTTTCTTTATCCATCTAAGGCAGCCAGTAACCACAATGGTAGCTTACTGATGGCTTCTTTCTTTGAATAATGTTTTCAAAATTCATTAAATAAAGTATACAGAATTATAAAGGAAACAAATTACCCCCAAAAGTTGTCACAATATTTCTTAAAGTTCTCATACTAAAAATATGCTGGGTTTTTTGTTGTTGCTGGTTTTGCTTCTTGTGGGGCTGGGAATCAAACCCAGGGCCTCCTGCATGCTAGGCAAGGACTTGACCACTGAGCTAAGCTCCCTTCTTTCCCAAATTTTATTTTGAGAAAGGGTCTTACCAAGTTGACACATTGGTCTCAAATCTGTGTTCCCCCTGTCTCAGCCTCTCAAGTGACTGGGGTGACAGGTGCACACCAAAAGCAAAAATATGCTTCTTTATAAACATGTTAAATGACAAAAAGTAATGGGAGTCTAATAACTACCAGGAGGGTATAAATGGCTTGTTTGTTAAAAAACAAATAAAACTATAACTTGACATAAAAATGTCTTGAATTCTATTTGGTAATAAAGTCACAAGCACTTCTATTACTCCTATGGGGTTGCTACATTCAAATGAGAAGAAATGCTACATTTTGGTTAAAGGAGGGGAAAATCAAGATGTGTTCTTTCCCCACTAAATTCTACCCATGGAATCCCAAGTTAAGACCCTCTACTGCTAAAGTACAGTCTGGACAAACAGCTTGGGACAGAGCACCCTCCTACCACCTGGGCTCAGGTGCAGATGCCAATTCGGTGAGTGAGCCGGGAGTCTGTGTTCTCAGGGAGCCTCCAGTTCACGGTGCTGCTGTTGTGGAAGAATCCTCAAGGGAGGCAAAAGACTTTCACTGGGTGGAGGCGAGGGCCAGAGTGCACAGAGGCCGCCTTTCCTGACCCTTTGCTATAGTTTGGATAAGTGTGCCCAAAGGCCCATGGGTTGAAAGCCTGGTCACCAGCCTGTGGTGCTCTGGGAGGTGGGGAACCTTTAGGAGGTGGGGCCTAGGGGGAGGAAGTTAGGTCTTGGGGATGTGTCCTTGAAGGGGATACTGGGCCCCTTTAGCCCCTTCCTGTCTCTTTGCTCACCAGCTACCATGAGGTGAGCAGCTTTGCTCCACTCTCTACTCTCCTCCATGATGTTCTGCCCAGCCACAGGCCAGAAGGCAACAGAACCAAGCAACCATGAAACCATGAGCCAAAATAAACCCTTCCTCTTTGTAAACTGTTTATCTCAGGTGTTTTGTCACAGTAATGGAAAGCTGACTAGCATACCCTTAAAACCTCCAGGAATGGCTCAGGGCTTCCTGGCTGAATGCTTTCCTTTTCTATATGCTTTAGTATCTGACAACAGAAGGAGAACTTAGATAGAGGTTCTGAGCTCCTGGGCACCCTGGTTACTAAAAGCTACCACAAAGCAGCAGCTGACAATCAGGTAAGTTTCTGACCCTTGGCAAGTTCCAGCACCCAGAATGTATGTGCAGATACCCATGTCCATCCACGGGACACAAAGACTCACAGCCCAGACAACTGACTGTGAAAGTGGAAATGACAATTCAAAACAAAATACGCAACTGAAGACTTAGAAATTATTGACAAAATTACCTTTGCTATTTTCCGTAAGGTACTGAAAATATATTTAAAATGACTCTTCTGTTTTTTCAGCGACCTTGGTTGTCTAAAAGCTCCAGAGCCCTGAACTTGAGATATAGTCATAGAAAAAAATTAAAACAGCAGAGGAAAGTCCAAGTCAACAGAAGGTGTTATTAGCAATACAATAGCCAGCAGTACACAAAATATCAAGGAAATTAGTTTTCTTTGTCCCATCTAAGAGCTGTTTTTATGTTTTAGGTAAGAAAAAAAATTTTTTTTCAGAGACATAGGTCACTGGGCAACATTTCTTCTTCAGCCTCCTGAGGCTCACAGATCTCTTCTAGAACCACCTCTCAGCATCCAACAAACTTTAATTCAAAAGCTCCCTTCAACCCCACCTCTTGGAAACCTGGTTCTTTAAGATATAGGGGGAAAAAAAAATCTCGATTTTCAACCCAGCTGCGGAGCTGCTGTGCTGCTCTTAGGGTGCCCCCTACTGGCCACATGTGGAAGGAGGCGGCAAAGCCACTAGACCATCTCCTTCCAAGGGGAAAGACTGGGAGTGACATGGGCCAAGTCGTGTTGCTGTATGGGAGCAGGTATGAATGTGTCACAGCAAATCCCACCACGATGAACAAGTGCAATGCACCAGTAAAAACAATATGAAAAAAATTCCAAGAATAAAAATTAGAGGGCTGGGATTGTGGCTCAGTGGTAGAGCGCTCGCCTGGCATGCATGAGGCACTGGGTTCAATCCTCAGCACCACATAAGTGTAAAATAAAGATATTGTGTCCACCCAAAACTAAAAAATAAATATTTTAAAAGAAATTAGAGGTAAAATACTCCCTCCCCTCCCCCCTCTCTCTCTCTCTCTCTCTCTCTCTCTCTCTCTCACGCAATAAGGCAAAAGTTGACGTTTCTTTGTTTTTTCTCAACATTTTTGGTCTCTGTTGATGAAACAAAAGGCAGTAATGTCAACAGTTGGGAAGCCCCAAAGTCATGCTCTAAACACCTTTTAAAAGTAAACAGAAAGAATAAAGGACTCCTACAACTCAACAGCAACCAAACAGCATGATTAAGAAATGAGCACAGGACTTGAACCGACATTTCTCTTAAGATCACAGTGGCCAGAAAACATGTGAAAAAAAAAAGTTCCACATCACTGGTGAATCAGGGAATTGCAAATCAAAAACAGGCATCTTTCCTCTTAGGATCATCATAACCAAAACCCAACAAGACGAAACATGAAACAGAAAATACCTCATTATCAAGGATGTGAAGAAGTCAGAGCCTCACGGGTGAGAGTATAGAGGGGTCAGTCCAGGGCTGCAGCAATGTGGGAGAGCACTCGCCTCCCACCTATGGGGCCCTGGGTTCGATCCCCAGCACATTAAAAATAAATAGCTGGGGTTGTGGCTCAGTGGTAGAGCACTCACCTAGAACACACGAGGCCTGGGTTCGATCCTCAGCACCATATAAAAATAAATAAATAAAGTTATTGTGTCCAACTACAACTAAAAATATTTTTTAAAAGGTAAATAAGTAACAAAGTGGTGTAGACATGAAGGAAAGCAGCTCAGTGTCAGTTTCTCCTCCCCCCTCCCAAAATTAATTAGTATTAGTTACATTTATGTTGCTGTGCCACCAGTTTCCAGAACTTCTTCATTTTGCACAAGGGAAACCCTACACCTGTCAAACAACTCCCCACTTCCCTTCCCTCTGCTCTGGCAACCTGCCAGAGCAGGTTGTCTACGGTGTGTCTCTGGGAATTTGACTGCTTTAGACAGCTTATCTCACTTAGCGAAATATCCTCGAGGTTCATCCATGGGGGAGCACCTGTCAGAATTCCCTTCCTCTTTAAGATGGAATGGACCGTACCTGCAGACTGCGTTCTGCACAGCCATTCGCCTGTTGATGGACACTTGGTTTGCTTCCACGTTTTGGCTCTTGTAATACTGCTGTGAGCCCAGCTGTAGGGACACCTCATCGATACCTTAGTGCTTTCATGGCCAAAGGCCCAGAAGTGGACTGGCTGGATCACCTCCCCTAAGAGTCTACTACCCTCCAACTGCTACACTCCACTTCCCTCTCCCCGTGAGGGGGAACTGAACTGGAACCACCTGGCCCTTGAGGTCCATGCCCTGTGGGGCTGCCACACACATGAGCATTAGTAAGTGTGCATGCATTTCTCCTGTTGCTGTATTTCCAGATCATTTGGGGCAACGACACAAACCTTTAGAGAGGGAGGGAGAAAGTCTCCTGTCCCCACACCTGCATCACTACGATAGGGACAGCCCGTTTCCTGATGGTGAGGGTAAAGGTGACACTATCCATTCAGGTGCCTTCCCATACTCCAGCTGTCTGGGTGGTAGGGGAGCCTGGGAGGAGATACCCCTTTGCTTAAAGCCCACCTGGTCCGAATTTCAAAGTCCCTTGAACAAACCTGGAGGGGGATGTGAAGAAGCAGGCAGAAAAGCCGCTTCCATGCTGACAGACCAGACCCTGAGCCTGTTTCCCCACTGAGTAACTCTGTCATTTTTCCAAATGTGCATCCTAAAAGGAGGCCCCCATTGTCCCTTTCAAGATAGAGTCTTCTACATGGTGAGAAACCGACGGTTTTCTGTCTACAATAATATCACAGCAGGACACATACATAGAAAATGGCTTTTTATTTTATTTTGATAAGAAGGAAAAGACCCCAGCATAGCTTCAATCAAAGCTAACAATTTTCCTGGTAGAACATTGGGTAGTTTTATTAAAGTAGATTTGCTTAAACTAAGAGAAAAAAAAGGTCTCACTGACCCTTGAAATTAAGGCAAAGGTGCTGGTAAGAAAAGTCACCACTGAGTGTCGCCCTCCCGCCCTCTAAGAGCCCAGGGCAGGGAAGGGCAGCCGACCCCCGCTGGGGAGCGCTGGTGTCCCTGCACAAGTCTCACTGGCCAGTCTGAACAGCCCCGCTGCCAGTTGCTCAGGTTCTGTGCAGGAGCCCCGGGGGGCTCAAGGCGCAGTGCGTTGAGGTAGCTGTCTTTGCGTTTTGCAGACGTTCCTGTGGGTGCTCTTTGACCACGGGGTGAATGTCCCCCGTAGGAAACTTCTGGTTTCGTTGCCCTGCTAGGAATGCCCTCCCTGTGCCCCCAGTCTGCATTCTGCCCCAGACTCTAAGGCTTCAAATCCAGGGGGGGTGTTTTCTTCATCCACGGGCTGTTTAGGTTTCAACTGGCTGCTGAGTGTCAAGAAGGAGTACCTCAGGCCACCTGCCATGCTGGAGGAGAAACAGTGAGAATAAAAAGCTGAGAATTCCATGGTGCTGCACCAGCGGTCACTGACACTCTTATAAATAGAGTGAGCTTAATTCGGAGGTCTTTACTCAGATCTGGGGGGCGAGGGGGGGCTTCCTTGAGTTTGTGGATTCCTTGATGAGATTTTCTCCTCTTATTTACAAATCTTTGGTAGCAGGGAGTGGGGGGTTGGGGTCTGATCTGACAGAGAACATCAGAAACAAAATAAATGGTTTTTTAATAAATAAACTACATTCCCCTGCGTTCCATTATCCTAAGCCAACAGCCCCCGTGCCTGGCCCAAAATACCTTTCAAAAGGCAGCTAGTAAATTCTCACAGCATCTTTTAAAGTACAACACGTTGAAGGCACAAGTTCATGAAGCCACTGGGCAGGAGGAAGACAGGTAACTTTAGGGGACGTCTCTTTGAGGAAGATACGTGAATCAAATTCAGATCCTGGCCAGGTGAATTTTTATGACATATGTCCCCGTGAATCCACACAAGGGATTAAGTCATAAAAATAGAGGAACTGGGGCTATAGCTCAGTGGCAGAGCATTTGTCTGCCTTGAAGGAGGTTCTGGGTCTGATCAGTAGAAGAGAGAGACAGAGAGAGAGAGAGAGAGAGAAGAAGGAAAAAGAAAAACCAGAGAGAAACTGAATGATTCAAGTAAAACTAGTCTAGAAACTGTAATATTGTAATACTTGCTGGCTTAAAATGTAACATCTCTCTTGGATCTTTTGCTTATTACATTCAATCTTTAAAAATGTGATTTTATTGAGATAAGTTCATTTAAAAATATCACTCACCAAATATTTAACCCTATAAAATTTAATAGGGAGAAAATGTAGTCTCCACCAACTAACATTCCAATGTAGGCGACAGACACGTTCTGCAAGAGGAGAGAGAATCTGTCATTCCAAGCAAAGGATGGGGTGGGGGGATACATAGAACAGGAAAAATCTGAAGCTAGGCAGTCTACTTTTCATAGAGTTTTGAAGAGAGTAATTTTTCATGAATATCCAATAAATGAATTAAAAAGCATCACAGGTGGTTTTATAAAGAAATAGAGCACCTGCCTGGCACGCGTGAGGCACTGGGTTCGATTCTCAGCACCACATAAAAATAAAATAAAATAAAGGTATTGTGTCCACCTACAACTAAAAAAATACAAAAAATAAAGTAAAATATGATATAATAACAGAAAACTGAATTATTCTCTGCCCCTGTCTGAAGAGTTGAATTGTATCAGCTTGCCAGATCCCATCTTTTGAGTGATGAATTTTAGTCATATTGAACCTAAAATTGAACAGAGTAGAGGCATCTAATAAATTCCAAGCAGCACTCTGTCCACTGTATGTAGGAGGCCTTGGGAAGCCAACAGCTTCCCAACAACTGCCCCTCACTCCAGGAAGTTGAGTTAATAGAAAATCAAGAACCTGCAGAAGAGAATTCAGAAACTCCAGCCCTGTTCATTCCCGAGTGTGTTCAAATGCACACACACACACACACACACACACAGGCTGATCCACAACTACAACTGAGCACAGACCTGGCTGAAAACCGTCCTTCCCAGGGTCCCGTTCTTAGTAGCCAGTTCTTCCAGAAAACTACACTGTAGCTCACTTAAAATTAATAATTTGTTTTCCTTTCTAAATTAGCAAGTCCTCCCTCTGTTGGATGCATTAGGGGATTAGAGAGAGTGAGACAGGGTCACCCAGACCAGATGCAAATGGCACAAGAAGCCCTTCTCACTAGCCCTCAAAACCAAGCTCAGCTTCCATGTATGGTTTGGACTTAGCCCGGCTCCCCACCCCCACCCCACTCCCCACAGCTGTTCACTGCAAGGCCCCTCCACTCACCTTGATGGCACCAACCACCGCCGTGGTCAGGGCTGAGTTGTAATAGCTGCACAGGACCGTGGAGTACATCAGGAGGAACCTGAGTCAAAGAAAGCAACCGCTGAGCTTGTGCCTGCGCATGCTGGGGGCCACAGGCAGAGAAGGGAAGGACAAGTACCAAGGTCGTACAACCCACGCCCTAAGACACCTCCACCAAAGACATCCGTATCCCAGGAAAATGCCCCAGCTGAGCCTCAGCCACACCTCCTCACCTGGTGTTGTTCTCATGTTCTCCACGCATTTTCCAATAGACTTTCCACAACATGGAGAGGAGATTTTTTTAAACCACCCGAATCTTTCACTTAGTGGCTACGTTACCCCAGTGGTGTGGACCCTCTGGTGGACTCAGAATCACCTGCTGCTCTTTGCACACACACCTCAATGCCCAGCAGAGGCTCCCATTCCACTGGCTTGAGGTGATAGGAAAGTTCCGCAGGTGATTCTCAGGTGTGCAGCCACATAGAGGATGTGGGTGTCAGAAGAGAAAAGCAGCTGAGCGAGTGCTGGCTTTAGGCAAAGAAAATTGGAGTGAACAGATTCCACCTGCCATGGTATTCCTGTGCCCGCTTACCAAAGTTGATTCAAGCACTTACCACTGCCAGTAAGTACTGGCACTTACTTGTCAGTAAAATGACTGCAGAATTGTGACTAAGTGCCAGACAGGAAAACATATACACAGGAAAAAAAAAAAAAAAGAAGGTGGAATCCAGTCAGAGGTAAAGAAGTGAGTTGATTCTTATCAAGTACTGAAGGAAATTAGCCAGGACCTAAGTGGGATGCAAAATTCCACTCACCCACATCACATGGTCAAATGTTGAAGGGATTAATATCGAAACTGGCTGAGTGGCCAGGTGTGGTAGTGCATGACTGTAATCCCAGTGGCTCGGGAGGCTGAGACAGAAGAACTGTGAGTTCAAAGCCAGCCTCAGCAACTTTGAGGCGCTAAGCAACTCAGTGAGACCCTGTCTCTAAAAAAAATACAAAATAGGGCTGGGGATGTGGCTCAGTGGTCAAGTGCCCCTGAGTTCAATACTTGGTACCCAACAAAGAAAATTGGCCAAGTGAAATTGGAAAGGTCCATGGAATGCATAAGATGCGTGGGGTTGTGAAGATAAACCCCAGGCGAAAGGAAAGCTCTTCCTGCCAGTCCTAAGTGCCGGGCTCAGCCTGCTGATGGTCACCAACAGAATCAGCGTCACAGACCTTCAGTGCTAGAACCCCGCTTGACCTGAGTGTGTTTTCTACTAGGAATGGTAGAGGGAAAAATATTCTAGCTAAAGCCCATCAAAATTTACAGGAGGAATAAACCACAAACCTGAAGTCTGTGACCTTCAGAGGAATGTGTACGCTGGATATTAGGTAATTAGAACAAGTGGGCAAGTTCGAGACCTCTGTGGTTTTAATTTGAAATGTGTAACTGATATGAGGCTTGCAGTTTTAATTTGAAAGGAATAAGAGTCTGAGTAAACCTGTATACAGCATTCGAATGTTCGCTTTAAAAGCTGACGGACAGACTGGGGATGTAGCTCGTTGGGAAGAGCGCTGCTTGCCCGGCACACCCCAGTCCCTGGGTTCTGTCCCCAGCAGGACAATAATGAAAAACTGATTGGCCACATTTTCCAAGTTTGCTTTATTAGATTTCAAAGAGCTGCCTAAGTGCATAAAGAAACCTATTAGCTCTGACAGCCAGCCCCAGGGGTTGGGGTAGTCAGGAAAAACCCAGCAGATCACAATTGTAAATGCAGTTTAAAACGTTTAAAATGGTTGGGTTCACTAAGTTGTGAATGGAACGAATTCACAGTAAAATGTCTAGTAGATGTAAATCAGTTAAATTTGAGTTAATAAACCGCGAATCAAATAATGGAAGCTGATGTCTTTACCATTATAGAAAAATTACTAACTTTACGAGCAGTGTATTTAGACGATAAACTTGGAAGATTCAGAAAAACCTATGTTTTAGAATTGTTACAATTTAGTGAATTCAACATTAGTTTAGAAAACTGCAATAATCCTACTCAAGCCTAAAATGAAAAGATTTAAAAAGTCAATGTGGCGTCACCGAGTGCGGATGCACCTTGGCCTTGAAGAAGTTAATCCACAGCGTCAGCCCTGGAGGGTCTCAGAGTCCAGAAAAATAAGAGATGTCCAGTCCAGAGAGGACAGGGCTGGCTGCTTCCTGCAGCCTTCTGAAACTTGAACACAGCCTTCAACCAAGGAAAATCATGAATGCCCTTGTTTTTATCTTGGCTTTAAAATCCCAATTCTAAGGTTCTAATTATGCGACACAGGAGACCAACTGCACCTTAATGAAAGCAACTCGGCGTGCAATCAGAACCTGTGGATGGGATCTAAGATCCCAGTACCCATCTACCAGGAGTGTGGGTGGCTAGAGGAAGGGGATCCCTCTCTGACAGCTGTCTTAGTGACAGAAGACTTCCAGCCAGACAGGCTGCATTTCACATTATGGCCACTAGATGTCCCCAGAGAGGGAGGCTATACACCACTAGGATCAAAGTAGAACATAGAAATTATTTTTAAAGAAACTATTTCTATATACAAGTAAGTACCTGCAGGGCACATTGGATAAGACCAAGGCTTTGGACTAAAAGAGCCTCTGTTAACTCCACACAAAAGAAACTACACCACTTGTAACATCAAAAACATCAACCTCCATGTGTCAGCAGTTTTGATTTTTGGACTAACAAAATGCAAAGATATTTTAAAACACTGCTGAATTCTAATTTTTTTCAACTTTAAAACATAATATTATCTGTGTACATTTGAAGAATAATGGCACATTATTATGCACAGTTTTTCTGGTAATAACTGCCAGGTGAGTGTTGTGGCTTATGGGGCCCCCAGGAGTAGGGTGCCCAGGTGGAAACCCAAAGGCTTCTTCCTGCTTCTAAAAGTGACCTAAAAAATAACTGATTTACCCGAGGTTAATCTGGCCCAACCACGCCAGTCACAAACAACTCACATGACCTGGCTTACTGTTACTGGTTACCTTTCATGCACCAGCACACCCAGAAATTCCACGCAAATGTTCAGATAATAAAAGATCACTTCTACACGCCTCCTACCAACCTGGGATGATTTTCATCCCAGGTTTCAGGTGCAGAGCTCCCTCCTCAGCGTTGGCCACGGGCACTAGACTCTGTCTTCCCAGGGCAGGCCATCTAATCTCCCCCACACTTTCTTGTCCTGGAGATGGCCACCAAGGCCCTGCCCCATGTCCAGGAGGAAGGCGGGCTGCACAGGGGCCAAGAGGAGCCTGCACCTTGCTGGGTTTCCTAGCTGCCCTATCAGCACTGGATTCTGCCCTCTGCCCAGGCCCATTTCTATAGGGTTCCCGATGTCCACAAATGAAGTCACGGTAAGAATCCAAAAGGACAGGAGTCACAGGGCTTCTGCACAGCGGAGCTCATGGAGGCTCACAGAAGGAGACCAAGAACAGACTCGCCCACCTGGCCACACCCCAGCTGCACAGCGATGGGTGGGAGCTCCTGCTCTGGGGGCCCTTCCAGACCTCACCTGTGTGTCCATCTAGTCTGTCCAGTTGTTCATTTGCATCCTTTAAAATAAGCTGGTCAGTATGCAGAGTTTCCCTGAATTCTGGGAGACATTCTAGTAAATTCCTCAAACTCCAGGAGGGGGTGGTGAGAACCCCAATTTTAGCCAGTTGGAAGGCCTGGGCTTGCCGCTGGTTCGGAAGTGGGAGAGATCTTGGGGACGCAGCCTTCAACTTGTCAGAACTGAAGTGAATCAGGGGACACCGGCTGGGGTCCACTGCAGAATCGATGGCTTACTTGCTGGTGAGGAGACACTCCCACACCCTAAGAGGTCACAGGCGTGACCTGTGTTGTGAGGGAACAGTGGGAGGAGCTCAGTGTGAGTCTGTTTTTTCCACCCAGGACCAAGGCACATTTTCTGTTTTAATTCTAGATTTCAAAGAATTTCGAGTAATCCTGCTTCCTCGTCTCTGGGAAGAGCTGCATCCAACCCAGGACCTTGTCACATGCCAGATGCACAAGGTCATGGGGTACACATGAAGCATCTTTCTGAAGCTCAAACCTTCCACTAACATCTTCCCAGACATGAGATGGAAACATTCACACCCATGATGGGTTCCCTTAGCCCCCTGACAGGGAAACCAGCAGGATCCAACTTTCTCCTGTTCCTACCTCTTCAGAAGAATGAGTTGAAAATACAGAAATAGGGCATTTGGGGGGCTGTGAATAGGCAAAATTTGATACTTTGGGGTTTCAATTAAGGAATCCATTACTGCTTCAATAGAATCAAAGGGCCTGCCTCTGGGGCAGAAACCAATTAGGATAATCCTCTTGGGACCCAGGGGACAGTGCCAGCCACTGGAAGAAATGAACTGGAAGCTGTAATTTCTCAGCAAGATTAAAAAGACCTGCAGAGCTAGCTTCTCAAACATCTAGTCTGTCGACCTAAATCCCATTCTATATTTTACCTTAGCACTAAAACATCTTGCCTCCTATAATCCAGTTCACCTTCCTGAAGTAGCTTCACTCCAGGTAACTCCATATGCTATACTTACAAACCCCTGGTGGCACAGAGTGCTGTTTCCTAATACTGAGTCCTCTGCCTGATCACAGAGTGCTGTTTCCTAATACTGAGTCCTCTACCTGATCACAGAGTGCTGTTTCCTAATACTGAGTCCTCTGCCTGATCACATAGAGTGCTGTTTCCTAATACTGAGTCCCCTGCCTGATCACATAGAGTGCTGTTTCCTAATACTGAGTCCTCTGCCTGATCACATAGAGTGCTGTTTCCTAATACTGAGTCCTCTGCCTGATCACATAGAGTGCTGTTTCCTAATACTGAATCCCCTGCCACAAATTGAAAGGAAATCAAACATCCATCCTTCTACCATTTCAGCAACTTCTTAGAATACTTTTTTAAAGAGTGTAATAATTTCTTAATTATATTTTCGACTGAGAACAGAGGTTTGGTTATTGAAGAAGGCAAGTTTGACATGCAAACTTCAAAGCAGTGAGACGAACCCAGACA